CATATACATATATATGCACATACATATCTATTAGCATGACTTATATAATCAGATGTGTGTGTGTGTGTGTGTGTGTGTGCATGATTTATAAAGCCTGTGTAAGCCTACTTTAAACCATATGATATGGACAAGGCTTAAAACGGGCTGGAACATTTTCCCCCCATTACTTCCACAATAAACAATTCCAGGGTTTGGTGTGGTGGGTGGGTGTGTGTACGTGTGGGTGTGTTTTGGACAGCAACTCCTGTCTGGAACAGGGCTGGCCAGAACCCTGTTCTTCCAAAACCTGTCCCGGTAACAGTCCAACCCGGCAGGAACCTCGATCTGTTTTTTCTTATCACAAAAACAAACAAACCCCTTCAACAAGCCAGTATCATAGAGTGGCGTCCTTCATCACTAAACCGCCCTTTCTGTAGTCTTGACTCCAAGGGAAGAATGCCACCTACCGAACCAACCACACTAGTCAGCCAGTCCTGCAAAGTGCAGCAACGCTCAACTCAGCCCGGGTCCGCTCCAAATCCCCTCCCTCTGATTATTCTTTGGCCTTTAAAAAATTTGCCACTATTTGGGCTGACAGGAAGTTATGCTCTCAGTGCACATATCTGATAAACACTTCCACATATTGTAGCCTTCTCAACAGCGAAGCCAAATTTCAGAGTCCTCTCTCTGCCTGCGTTTTCCTTAATCGCCCTTGCACGTTTGGAGTGCCCAGGTCTCTGCAGCCCGCAGACAGCGGAAACCGCCCGTGCAAACTGCGCGGGGGCTGCTGCCCGGCCCTGCGGCTGCAGAAGCGGCGCGGGTCCCCCAGGGAGGCTAACGTGCGGGACTGCACAGGAGGTCAGTCGGGGCTTCCAAACCCCTCCGCGACGCGCAACTCCGTCCCCGGGCCATGCCGATCCCGGGCGGGCGGGGGGCGGGGGACCCCTCTGCGGCACGGAGAAAGCCGGACAGGCATCACCGGCACTTCTCTGTTCAGGCTGAAGTCGTCACGGCCGCGCCGATGCACGGGCTGCCGCGGCGCCTTTCCCGCGGGCGCAGCACGGGAAGGGATGGAGTCGGGGGCGAGTGGGCGGGGCGGCAGGAGAGGCGCGCACCCGCGCGCTAAAGGCCCGGTTAGTGACACCGGCCGGTGAGCCCCTTCGGACGGGACCCACTCGGCATCGCGGACTGAGAAGGTCAGTAGGTGGCCGGTTTCCTAATGTGTATCTAGAAAGGCGCGCGGCAGGCCAGGTCGCCACAGGGAGGGCCGTGGCCAGAGGAGGGCAGCCGGGGGCGAGCCCGGCGCAGGCCGCCTGGCACGGTGGGCGGACCCGAGGCGGGGTGGCCGCCGCCGCAGTTGCCTGCAGCCACGCTCCGGAAGGCGGGCGGCGGTGCATGGCCCCGACGGGAGGTGCGCGTCCCGGACCCGGAGCTCCGCGCGCCTCCTGAGCGCTGCAGCCGCCTCTGCGCTGCGAGTCCTAGGCACTCCGGCCGCCGTCCCGCGGACAGGACTGCGTAGCCTCCTCTTGGGCTGGGATTTGCTTGGAAGTCTTCTTCCTGGAAGCGATGTCCCCCCAACAGGAGACGCTAGGGGGGCAGCCGGGGCGCTCCTCTTCCCTGACAGGAGTGTGTCTGATCGCGGGAGGCTCCAGCACCAAGGTAAGGACCCCGAGCAGAACCCCGCGCCCGCCGCCGCCGCCGCCGCCGCCGCCGCCGCCGCCGCGGCGGCCCCATTCCCGGCGCGAGCCCTCTGCGCCCCCGCCTCCGCGGGGCTCAACGTTCGAAGCTCGCGTTCGGAGCCGTTTGTTCCAGGCCATTCCCGCCTTACCCGCCCTCACGCCCGGCAGCGCCCCCAGCACCTCCCGGCCTTTTCTCATCTAGCCTTACTCGCTCCACACAGGACCCCGCGGCAGCCCATCCACCGCGACCCCGGCGGCCCCGCTCCCGCCCCCGGCGGGGGCGAGGGCCGGGAGCCGGGCCATGCCTTTCCCCTTCCCCTCCTGGCGCCGGCTCTCGGCGCGCCGCCCCTCGGCGCGCCGCCCGAAGTCCCCCGGGCACTCACCGCTTCTTGACCGGGTCAGCCCCGATGTCGTTGAGGCCGGCGGCGTCTGTCCGGGCGCGGCTACCGCGCCGAGTAAGGTAGGCGGCCGCGCTGCGGCGCCCGCGGGGCCCAGCCCCTCACCTGGACCCCGCGGCGCGGCCGCTTCGAGCGATTTGCGAGGGGCGGGGGGGGGCGCCCCGCACTGCGCTCCTGGAAGGACTCCGGGTCTTCGAGGCGGTGGGCAGCCTCCTAGGTGTGCTGGGGAAGCTAACGGTCAGCGCCACGGAGGAGCCTGGGGCCGTGCTGGGTGGGGCCGGTGGGCTGCAGCGGGGGGTCGTGAGGGCTGCGGTGAAGGGCCTTGGCCCTGCGCTCGGTCCCGGCTCCGGGGCTCGGCGGGGCTGGGGGGGCGGGGTGTCAGCGTGGGCGTGCGGACGGTGTGCTTGGTCCCTGTGAAAGCTGGGAGGAGGGATGCGGGCCACAACTTGCAGCGTACCATGCCGATCAACGCAGCCGCCGTGCGGCGTGTCCATTCCGATCGGGTCAGGTTTCCTTGGAACCGTTCCCTCCGCAAGTGCACGTGGCCGCGAGCCGCCGGCCTCTGCGGCTTGGCTCTCTCTCCCAGTGATTGATTTGGGTGTTTCTAGCCTTGCTTGCTCTCGCTCCTCCCCTCCCCCAAGACCTTCTGCTATTTGGCCATTTTTACTGAGGGATAACCTAACTCTTCCTTGAGAAATGTCTTGAGGCATTGTATTTATATCTTTGGAGCCCTAAGGGACCGCGGAGGCTCCCTGATGTCAGAATCTTAGAGCCTTTCATGACTCCTCCGACCAGGATCCGGGTGGGCTCCAGGTCAATGGCAGAGCGGCGAGATCCGTGCGTCCGTGCGCCGAGTTGAGAAGTGTGTGTGAGCTCCCAAGGACCATGACCATGTCAGCAAGTCATCTAGGTGTTGGTGAACTCGGTATCGCTGTAGTGCAGGCTCAGCTTTTGATGTATTGAGGCTGAGGTTTGTCCTTGTTGCTTGTCCCCTTCAGAGATGCACGGATGGGGGGGGGGACTTAAAAGGTTAGAGCTTTATTTGGGAAGGTAC